AATCTCCACCTTCAGATCATGGTAACGCTGCCATTTTGTGAACACTTGTCCTATGAAGAGCCATGAAACTTGACTACGCTTGCGCAGATCATCAATTACCTCACTTCTCCTTACCTCCAATCATCTATCTCCACACTTCAGACCACCCTGCCCTTCATCCCATAAATCGTGCCCCAAGCCCTGGATCGGGGAGACAGATCTGAGAACCTATGCCCTTGTCTCCTTGCAGATCGATCTAGCCATAATGCTGATTTCTTTTCCCAAAAGCTGATGCCATAATAATCGGCTTTTTTAATGCACATTGGGCAAGAGAACCCCAATTTTGTGCCGTAGCAAAATCATGAAGGTACCTTTCTTTAAAGGAGTAATATTCCTAACATGAACCTTAAATATCAACAAACACAGGACTCTGTCACAGTTCATAGTTTTCTCTCCCGTGCTTTGAAGTTCCCTCCCATGAAACTTGAACCAGAAATGTCCTGTAAACAGTCCTTTGCAAGGGACATAGGGAGCAGAGAATTGGACTCTTGGGAAATTGAAAAACAAGAGAGTCTAATCTTGTTTTAAGAAAATGTTGGTGGAGTGGAGATGTGTATACATATATGTGCAGACTCCATGCTGACGTTTTCTTAGTGGTTGGCTTTCCTCTTTCTTCCTCCAGCAATGCAGAATATGATGGCCATTTATAAAATATCGTTCAGTTTTACTCTGTGTAGGCAGTATGTTTGTCTCAAGGAGAAGAAAAATAAGTTTGTTCTTACTCCGTAAGGAAAGCTTATGCACATATAAAAGACAGCATCCTCTGGGTGCTGATCGTCAGCAACAGTTCTTGCTCTGGGGCTCTGTTGCCCCTAGGAGGTCAATTGGTAGAAAGCCTCTTGTCTGCTGCTTGTCCTACTCAGCGTCTAGAAGGGAGTTTAACATGAGCTTCAAAAGAGTGATTTTCCCAGCACAAACCCCCCAATAACAACAAACCCAGGACTCTGTCAGAGTTCATATCTCTCAGTTGGCAGGTTCAAATCCCTACTGGACTTCAGAGGCATTACAACCAAATACGGTGCAATGGATGGTTTAGATCATGAGAACACCCCCCCCCCGCCTTCAAATTTCAGAAAATCTAAGAAATTTGAATATAGAGTGTATATGAGATGATTTTAAGGAGTTATTACTAATTTTGTTAGGTTTTGGTAATATAACATATAACATGATTTTGTAAGAAACTATCCCTTCTTTTCGAAGAGATGATTACTTCAAGATGTAGGGCTGAAATGACTTGATGCTTGATATTAGCTTTAAAATACTTAAGGGAAAAGAAGACTAGATGAAACATTATGCAAAACCTTGATTCTGCATAAAAAAACTGTTGATTCTGGGCAATAGATAAATGGAGGTTCCTTATACTATTTTCTCGATTTTTGCTTATGTTTGAAAATTTTTCTAATAGAAAACTCCTGCTTTGCCATTTACTAACCTATGACCTTGGACAAATCACTTAACTTCTTTTTATTCTGATTTCATGAACAGCAAAGCAGTGATAATAAGAGTCCCTCTCTCGTAGGTGTCCTGTGTGGGTTGAACAAGATGTTATGCATTCAGTGCGTAGCACAGGGCCTGCCACAGAGCAAGCGCTCAATAATTATAAATTATTATTAGTATTGTGCATGGATATGGGGCCAGGAAAATATTTTTCCTATCACTTACACTCTCACTGCTGGTTTATTTGAGCTTCCTCTCTGATCCCCAAGTCAGCCTTCCCTTATATTATGAAAAATGAAAATGTACACAGGCAAATGCTAAAGCTAATGCTTAATTCTAATTGCATATAGCTCTAGTGACACATGTACTTTCAGATGATAGAAGTCACTGAGAATTAGTCACTAAGTAATGAGGACAGAGAGAAGAAAGAAAATTAGGAAGGAAAATATACCACAAACAACGTTTGCTGGTTAACACACTTTATATTTAACAAAATAATTTTTTAATAATATATTCTTTTACACATCAAATATTGTTGCTAGAATCCCGTTTTTACAGTTTAGTGTTTAGTTTGTTTTTTGTTTTTCTCACTAGTTTTCAGGCACACCATTTTTCAAAGATTTTAGAAACTGAATCGTTTTTAACAGGCGTCAACTGACAAACAGGATGTTGATCCCTTATTTAAACATAGCTGTAGTTAAAGCCGAGAACCAAAGGCGGAGGAGGAACAGGAGGACAGAGGGGACAGTGTGGCTGCCAACAAAGCCTTCAAAAGAACAAAAAAGCAACAACAGATGAGACCAGAACTCTGTTGTTCAGAGTTTGGAAAGAATTTCTCAATGACCTGGGTAGAAGGAAGGTGTAAAATGTTTATCGGTTGATGAGAAATTCTGTCACAGTATAAGTTCATCTTTCCCTAAAGGGGGAAAAATGTCAGCGCTACAAAGTCTTAAAGGAAACAGCTTGTGGTGAAACTCTGAGAGAAAAAAAAAATCCAACAACAACAATAAAAAAAAAATCCCTCTCTCTGGCTGGTAACAGAGGCCACTGAGCAGCCTTCATTCCGCAAACTCTCTGAAGAGAGTTTCTTGATGGATATTATACTCCCCTCTAGTAAATTCTTGCTGTGACTATCACTGTGCCAAGACTTTGATGCAAAATTTCTGTACCCTGGCTTCCCAGTTGCACTCTCTTTCTGTTTTCTAAAAAGGGCATAGTAACTCCTTAATAATAGATAGAGTACTATGCTGCATGGCTCTGTTAATGATATTTTCTGGGTTTCGAACCTTACTCCTGTCATTTATTATTATTATTATTTCTTTCTGAGAGTGTGGATTTTTGAAGCTGGCAACAGGCAACCTCAGGGCAGAGAAAGCTCTATAATACATCTCTGTCTAGACACAAGCTGAAGTGTGGAATGCCTTTACTTTGGAGTGTAGGAATAAATCATGCAGAATTGTTCATGAATGATTCATGACTGTCTATATGATGTATCCGTGGTGGCAATGAAAGGCACCAACCTTGCTGCAAATTGGTGTTCTAAGGGAAGGCGGCTTGATGTTCTTCCCCAGATGGCTCCAGCATGGCTGTTTGTATCATAACACAAGCACAGTGTGCGTGAGAAGTGTCAGGTCCAACTCATCAACACATTGATTTTGGAAAAGACAACTCTTTCTTGATGACAGAAGGTGCTTCCAGGAAGGAGAGGCTGACAATTTTAAATGAAAACCCAGTTGATGAGACTAAAGAAATACGTGTCCTGAGGGTGGACCTGTGGCATGGAAGCATCTCTCCCTTTGGAAGAGACTGATCCCACCCTCTTGGGGCTTCTGATTGTGCATGTCCCAAATGGTTCAGAGGGTCACCAAAGCCACAGGCTCAGCCAGAGCTTGCCTGGTATGTCCCCTTAGCAGAAACCACTTTACACTGATTTTTCTAAACCATTGGTTCTCAAGCAGGTGAAATTTTGCCCCCTTCTCCACTCCTTGGGGACATTTGGCAATGTCTGGAGACATTCTGTTGTTACAGCTAGGGTGTTGCTATTGGCATTTAATGGATAGAGGCCAAGGATGCTGCTAAACACCCTAAAGATGCTCAGGACAGCCCCCAACAAAAATTAATTGGCCCAAAAAGTCAATAGCACTAAGGTTGAGAAACCTTGTTCTAGAATGTGGCACTCCACAGGAGCTATGGCAGAGCCCAGGTTGGGGTAGGAGCAGAAAGGAGAGAACATCGATAATGAAGACAACCTTCAAGTTTCCTCAAGGACCCTATAGATCTACACCAGGGTTTTCACAATAGGAGAGTGGAATAAGCAACTAACTATGCCATGTGGTTTCAGAATTGCTAAATTTGCACTTGAATCGAGGTGGCATCAGATACCCTGTGTATTTTATTTTTTCTGTTACTCTACTAGCAGCATTACTAGGGCAACCTTGAGACTCTTCAAAGGTTCAGTTTAATTGTTCAGTATCTAATATATACATTTTAAAAAATGTTCAACAAATGGAATCGTATTGTGCAAGACTCACTCTACCCTAATCTTGAGTTGAAATCAGCACTTGAGGTGGAAAGAGTGTCCTGAATCTGTGTTTTAGACGTAGGGCTGAGCGGTCATTACTATAACATGGCAAACACAGTCCCGAGCCATAAAAACTGCCTGTGTCTACTGCTGGCTTCCAGCCAAATGTGAACTCAAAAGCCAGAAGTGTTCAGAAGGATTCAGATTCACAGTGGGGCTACTCACTCTGGTTCTGGTATTTATAGTGCCAAGTGACAGAGTGGGTTTAGAGCATGTTTAGTTACAAGTTGAACTTAAATTCAGCATCATGAGAAAGTCTGGTGATTAATGCTACAATTTTGAATACTTGTCACCATTTGGATTCTCTAGTCAAGCTTATGATGTTCTTCTTGTATTGGTTTTTGATTGGCAGTTTCAAGGTTTTGGGTATGAAATTTGTGGTTTGTAAGAATCCAATTGTGAGCCCCCACATCATACACCAAGCACCAGTTCCCCACCCTGCCCAGCAGTGGGTCCATCTGTGTGCACCTCTCTTTTCTGACCCTACAGGGCAGGATTCACTCAAGGGAAGTGACTGGTTAGATGCTTTTCGTCTTCCTGGTCAGGAAGGGTCCTCTCCCCTGACATTCCTTTACAAAAGCTTGTTTTACACAACTCAAAACCTTACTGTGTGGTCAAATCTGGCCCCTTAGACTCTAAAGATGAAAAAAAAAAATTGCTACAAGAGAAAAATGCCATATACGACGTATAGAAGAGTAAAAACAGAGTAAGTCGGTAGACGGTGAGCTGGCAGGCCAGAGGTGTCACCAGAGAAGGAGCCTGTCCAAGGCTATTTCTTTCTTTTTGTTCCACAAATCCAGTCATCAAGTCACCATCAAGCATGGATAATTACAAAAGCGGTTTTGATAGCTATATAATCTCTATATTTTATATAGCAAGAGAGAAAGAAATTTCCTCTTAGTAAAATATTCACTTTTGTCAACCCCAAAAGGTTTGCTGGTGACCCTGTTGTAGCTGGCAGGAGTTTGTTTGTTTGTTTTGTTTTGTTTTAAACATGTGCACTGTAGAAGCCATAGCATCCTTTCCTCATCGGTTGGGAATTTGTTCTACACAGTCTGCTTGCCTTGGCATTCGCGCTTTGAACACTGAGCAGGCTTCCACCAATCCCCGTTGTGACAGTGACAGATGTTACATTCATCCACTTTCACTTCAATGCCAGCCGGAATTATGGTAGTTCCTGCAAAGCAGTTTGGACCTGGAACACACACACATACATTGATCAGTTGATTAAATCTGAGAGGCTCTCTTTCTCCCTTCCCACCCCACCCCTCCAAAAAATCCAACCCCCGAGGTCAGACTACTCATACTGGTTTATTATCAAGGAATTTTCTAGCCATCTCCACAAATGCAAACTTTCAACCTTACTATCTTTTGCACACAGGTCATATTCTCCATGTGCATCATGCATTTTTTTTTTTTAAAAAGATCCAATGCTCAAAAAATCTTATTGCCTGTTACTGAGTGTTGCAATTTTCTGAAGTAAGGTTCTATGGAATAAACTCTGTTTGCTTTATCCTGGGGGGTGTAAAGGCTGCTGAAGTGTCCCCTGAAACTCGAGTGAGGGTCTAGTATGATCTGCCTCAGACGATGTTCGCTGTGGCCTGTCCTCTTGCTTCCTGTGGTGGGTATGAGGCAGTGAACTCACTCACTCCCGTTTCGGCAGCACCCTAAGCCCAGTTCCTGGAATCCGGAGCTTGTTTCTTGATGACAATGAATAATTCATGACCAGATGATTTATTCATGTCCCAAACAAGCTTTGTTAGAGGTTCATTTGATTTTTATAAATGGAGTTCCTTTAATCTGCTGGCTATCTATTTTTTTTCAAGAATGACCCAAATGGTTGGCTTTTGAAGTCAGTAGGAATTTTATTTTACTATTTCAGATTCAGAAAAGCCTTCCTGAAAATGTCACTTGCTCATCATAGATGGATGTTCTTAAAATTCACCAATCTCAGTTTTTTACTTCTTGTCTTTCCTTTCCATTTATTTATTTTCTTTCTCCTTTTTTTTCTTTTAACGCTCCCAGTGTAGAAATGCCCGTGTTCAGTGTTGGTGATATAATTTCTCAAATTCAAATGGAATTGCAGAAATAGAAGTACAATGATGTACACCTGAAATTTTTACAATATCATAAACCAATGTTACTGCAATAAACAAAAAATTAAAAAAAAAAATGGAATAAAAATTGCTTCCCATGGTGCATTATAGCGGGGTGGTACAAACTGCCGTTTCTTTGAAATGATTTGCTATGTGTCTGAAGCACATATTTGGATAAGAGAAGGAGCATTGAGCTGTATCTACTAGTGATTTATTAATCCAGCATTACTGGCCACCTGCCATAACCACTATGAACCAACATGGCAACACAGATCGATATCAGTGCCCTACTTTCACTTTCTCACCACTTGATAAAAATTTACAAGACTATCTTTACCACCAAATAAATGAAATCAGGGGCGATTTGTGGTTCCACTTCATGATTGGAATCTTGCTCTTACAACAACAGTGACTATTGAGTTACAATGTCTGTTTATCAACGCGAGACTATTTAACATGCATGGCTTTAATTGCCCATTATTTCAGAGCTCCCACACCTCAATTGTGCACACACTTACCAATGGTGTTTGTGAACCCATGCCTTTCCGTGGACAAACACGTGGGGCATGTGCTTGGGCATGGAGAGCCAGCAAGAGGAGGAGGGATGTAGTGGGTCAAGGCTGACAGTTAAACAGCTAGCCAACTGTCTGCTTTTGCCCAGGGGGGCATTTCTTATGATGCCATGGTTGTAAGTCCCTGATGACCCTAATTGCTGATTATTTAAGGATCACTATATCAATTCCATAAGTCTTAGGAGTTAGTTATTGTTTGATAGATTGCACTGTCTTTGGGACTACGTGTCCCTGGGAAAATTCCACACCAAATCATGAATTTGTTCTGTTACCAGAACTGAGGGAGTCCTCAGAGAACTTGGCAAGGAGGCTTTTTTAGAATGTTGCTGGTTCTCCCATGGCTGTTGTTGACAGACCTCTTTCAGCCCAGCCAGTTGCAGGTGCCCGAGCCAAACTAGCTTCAGAGATCAACCTAGATGACCACTACCTTCTGTTTTCCTGGAGCCACTCCAGAGGAGGTAGTGGTTTCTCTCTCCATCTCCCCACTTCTAACCAACTCTTTTCATTCTAATTGTGTACTTTTAACTTTTCCAGATGGGGAAAGAAGAAAATATATTTTTTCTAAACTGTGGTTCTAAAGCAAAGAAGTCCCTGAAACAGGCAGAATATTAGCCAGTATGAGTTTTTCCAGTTTGTTGAGAGGATTTGGAAATTTTCCAGAAGAATCTTAACTCTGTGCGTGTGTGTGTGTGTGTGTGTGTGTGTAGAGGCATGCTGCTTGCTCACAGGGGGCAGGTTCATCTCTATGGCACAATAAGAGAAAAAGGCAGGGAGAGATCTTGATGAAAAGAGGTTTCTGACAAGTCATCATGCATGTCTTGAAGAGAGATTTTACTTGGGCTCTGGTTTTCATATCTGCCCCTTTCTGCATATGTCAGTGCCATATGATCAGAATGTATTTGATCAGCCTCAGTACATCTTTCTTAAGAGTCATTTAGAATTGGCTGCACTCTCAGCTCAGGAAATATTAATTTATATTGATTGACAGAATGCGAAGAAAGACGCACTTTGCCGGGATTGACTAGTCAAAGGCCCCGCCTATAAATAACGTAGCAACCTCTCAACCGTCTACTTGGCAGCCAGAGGTATTTTACAGAATCGAAAACTCCTCTTTGATCTCATTAGCCGTGATTTTATTAGCACCCTTCTGAGAACTTCAGGTGTAACTAAAGCAAACCTCAAGTTTGCAGTTAATAGTCTTATCTGCTTAAAAGTAATTTAGATATTTGTCAAGCAGAATGGTTGGCACTATTTAGAAACCGTTCTGGTTTGGGCCCTTCCTCTTTAGTAGTGGTGACAGTAAATGGTAATTTGCTTTGAGCACGTGAGTGTCCTACATGAGTTCCTTATATAAGAAGTATATCCTTCTGTCTATTCTATTTTTTTAATTTGAGAACTGCTTTCCTTTTGTCTTGGTTTATGTGAAAGAATAAGTTGCTTAGAAGAGTGAACTCAGCAGCAAAAGCAACATGTTTTAATGCAGAAGACTTGGAGAGACTCCAGAGGGAAGCAGTGAAAATGATTAAACTGAAGGCTGGCAAATAGGACCTCTGAGAAGAGGTTAAAGGGATTGGAATTATTTAATCTAAAAAGAGAGGACAGAGGAATAACTCAATGACTCTCAGGGAATAAAGTCTTATTATGTGAACAATGGTGACCGACAGTTCGTTCTTTCTTCTGACGCCTAGAATAAGAGGAAATGGAGATACATTGATTCTCAAGGAATTCGAAACATGCACACGCACACATACACACACAGGTGATTTGCTCAGAGAACTGAGACTTGAGTGTGGCAGTTACCAACAGTGTGGTGAGATCTTCTCTCTTAGAAATCTATAGGAACGTAGGAGGTCTCCTCTGTCAAATAGATTAAGGTCATCAGCTCCTTGAAAACAGGAATGAAATATCTGTCATTTATTATGGTCCAGGCCTAATACTGTGTCTGGCAAATATTAAAAAATCAGTGTATGTTTGTTTAACTGAATGAAACAGTATGAACTAGCTAGTTATGTATTGGAAGTAAAATTATTTTCTGGTCTTATGTATATATCAGGCCTACCCCTAGTAATATAGGTATAGAAATATTTGTTAATTAATGTTAACACATAGTAATAATTTCTTGAGCACTTACTTCATGCAGGGAATTTGTCCCATTTAATCTTTCCAATAAACCGTATAAGGTGCACATTCTCATGCTCAGGATACTGAGCCTCAGAGATAGAAAATAACTTTTTCCTGAGGTCACTTATCCAGGGAGTGGCATCAATGGGATATAAACTCAAATCTCTCTGACCTATAAGATGCTTTTAAGTGCCCAGGGAAGGAGGCAGATGTCTAGGAATGCATTGTTGGGTTCCTTTGCCCAGATCCTGAGCTTCTGATCCGAATTTAGAAGTCCAGTTTGCTTTAGTATTGAGGATGCAGACTGAGATAACAGATTGGATGGCTAAAAAGAAATGAGACTGTTTTTCTACAGATCTTTATCAGATTTACTGGTTTTATATTGTGTATCCATATAGTCTCCAGAAATCATAATTTATCTAAAAACTAAAAGAAATTTCCCGTGGAGTAGATGCTTGGGCAATGAGGCTTCAGCTTTCCTTTGAGCAACAGTGAAGTTCTCACTGGTCTTGGAAGTAGACTGATGAAGAAGCAGAGTGAAGGTGGGCTATGACTCAGGAGACCTGGCTCAAGTTGTGGTTCTATGATTGACAATGTATGTGAATCTTAGGCAAGCACTCTGTAACCCAAATACAAACAGAGGCCCATATAGTCTAGTCTCAGAAAGGATTATTATTTTTGAAAACACAATAAAATTGGAAATGCAGTTGAAATCTTTACTGGGAGTTGGAGCAAGGAGAGAAGAAGGAAAAGCAGGCTAGGAATTCTCATACATGAAAGAATTTCTCCATGAAACACATAAATTAATCTATTATTCTGTACTTCTCTGAGCACTTATTTTGCACACCTACACATAAAAACAAGTTTGTAAACATTTTTTTCTGCAATAGAACTCATTCCAAAGAAATCTTATAAGGAAGACCAATATATGAAATATATAAGAGCAGAACTTCTCTGTTGAGGTGGCTGTGGGGAGACTGCAGCTCTGTCTTTTCAGCCATTCTTTTTCCCACCTTCCCACCTCAACCTCACAGAGGTAGCCCATGAGGCATCTGCATAGAATATCTAGTGATCAGAGAAAAAGCATTTGGAATGATCTCCTCCAGCTTCAATAATCTAAGAAACCAGGAGGAAATAGAAGAGATTCTGTCCTATTTGTGCTTGTAAGAACTGAGCAGATTTGCTCAGCCACTAAAGTTTTCTTTTTGGTAAGCTCTGAAATTTCCCTCATAAAATGGTGTGTAGAAATTATATGAAAAAGGAAGTCTAGAGCTACCCTGCTCACACCTTCTGCAGATCCATGCTTGCTTACGATGTTAAACATCATGTCGGTTACATGAAGAAACAGATACATAACCTGAAATAAGTGCTCTGAAGGAGAGGATCACAGGGCTGTGGAAGGTTGT